CACCCCCCCCCACCCCCAATAAACGAAACTATTTTTGTTTAAAAAGAAAACCTGAATTATACGATAGATCGTAATTTTTTATTTTACTTCTCGCCTCGAGCGGGGATACCCGACTACCGCTTTTTCAGTAATCTCTGTTCTAGAATCATTTCAATGAAAAAAGCAGATACCTTTCAAGGACCCGGGATATTTGGGCACCAGCCTCGAACACGTGAATCACTTCAAGACTTGGTAACGGTGAAGTAATACTTATCGATTGGGGCAATATATTGCTTCGATGAGTTACCATATTCTGTATTAGCACAAGCTCGCACAGGGTTTCTCTCATTAAAATAGAAAATTTCGAACGCATTGTGGGGAGTTTTATAATAATTAGAACCAAAAGAAATGAGTGACACGCTTCTTCATATGAGGACATATGGAACAACGCAAAATAGTGTTGATGGTTAGCCACTTATCCAAGATTGGCATGCTACTTCTCTGGTTCCACTCTTACTGTAGCTTATTTAAGAATAAATAAAACTATTTACAATATTTGTGTACCATGCATTGATGCGCCTTTGGCTTCCTGAATTAAGTTCAATGAAGGCTTCACTGCATTGAGGCCCATATTGGCAGTGGTTTAGTCGATGTTACAGGCCTGCTTTGCATCCTATGGTCCGAGGTTCGAGCCTCGCCACCGCCACCCGACTTTGGTGGTAGGCAGGTCTGCTGTCGTTCGATTTAATACCACGCCTAACCCATCGGGGCCTTATGTGTGGTTCACCACTCCAAGTCCCGGGACTTAGGATACCGGTTTCCGCCACTGAACAGCAGGTCCTCGTGGCTATGGGGTTCGCTCCGTCTGCTGTTCATCACACTTAGGTGTGTAATGATAAATATATTTTAAAATAATCCCGTTCCCGTTCAGTGACTTGTTCTTCACAAACCCAGAGGTGTACAGTTATGGCATTAGGTGTGCAAAACGATAGTTAGCGGTGCAATATTCAGTCCAATCAAATCGTATAAAATTTTATGAATCTTAAGTTACGTAGACTGAAAATCTTTGGGTATTATATATATATATATATATATATATATACAACACCAATCTTTACAGATATGGCGCCAAAATAACCATGGGTGAACGAAAAAATATAGATAAAAAAGCGGGAAAAATAAAAACAGTAATCTTCGAGGAGTAAATTTTTTTTGTTTACTGCACGCCATTTTGAGTTTTTTTCGTTAACTTTTTTTTTGGGGGGGGGGGCATTGCAAACAGCAGAGGATACATTCGTGCCACTGACTTCGGTTCGATACCATATTTTGCAGTGTCTCTAGCCAAAAACAATCTGAATCTTTGGGGCCCCAGCCGGGGAGCCGGGAAACTCCAACGGAAGCCAGACCCCAGCACAATATCTTTTACCATCTGAGCCACGTCATAATCTGCCTACCTCGCTGTTTCTTCCAGACTGGATCGCTGTCTGCGAATAGTGCACGGTGTGGTGTGTGTGTGGTGGTTTGCGTTCACACACACACACACACATCCAACATCATACAATTTGGGGGAAGAATTCAAAGCAATACGAGAAGGCGGAGGATCGTACCGAATGCATACCTTTAACAAGCGTTCCACTGTTTGCTGCTTTTCCATTTCCGCTTTTCGTTTCGCCGACTCCCGACGACGAGCAATACGTTGTTGACGAGCGAGAATTTGTTCCGGTGTGGGTTTGCTAACCGGTTTCGGAGGTTCGAGGCTCTCTAGGGNGGTTCGAGTAGACTGCGGGTACGATTGTGTGAACCGGTTGCCTGACCTGTAGCGGCTGTCCGTTGCATTTTAAGACTTAATTGTCGGGCAGTCATCAGTTTCGGATTCCGGAACGTTGACAATTCTTGGTCCTCTTCGCTATTATCTGCGTCCACATCAACAACCGGGCTTTGATTCACAGGCAGATGGAATTCAGTCAACCTTCTACCGGTCGAACGAACAGATCCCAACGGGGGAGCGTTATCATTGGAGTCAGAGTCTTCATCTTGCACGATGCAACGTCTACGTCGGAGTCGTTGACTAGACCGAGACTCTGTTGTTGTTCTTGTTTCTGGGCTGTCTGAACGTAAACCTTTGGAGCCTCGATGTGGTCGAAAACGCGGTAGATCAACCTGAGAGGGCAGACATAAAGAAGGGAAAAAAAGAAATATGAAGACGAGACAAAAAAGACTATTGATAATACAAGAGAAAAAATGAGCCAAACTAGCATGGACGATGTGAACCAATTGTAGACAGAGTCTTCGTCGCATTTTTCAGTCGATCATCGCATCGGATGTCATCCAGGTGGTTGTCGAATCCAGCAGTTGCACTCAAGTGTGGACAGGACGCGTTTATATAACGAATAAACCAAACACACTGTTTAGCATTCCGGTGGATTCGCTGTATGACGGGAAAATCGCCTGTGATGCAATAAACAACAGGAAGCCAGGTGGCCAGCATACTATTCCTCTCTACACGACAGTAAAGACCACCTGGATAGTGTTAGTTCTGTGGTGTGATGCAAACCTATCGGGGCCTTATGTGGTTCACCACTCCAAGTCCCGCGGCTTAGGTTACCGGTTTCCATGACGGAGCAGCAGGTCTTCGTGACTATGGGGTTTGCCCCGTCTGCTGTTCAACACACAAATGTTTAATAAAAAGGCTGAACATCTTATCCTTGGGAGATCATACTTACTCGCTCAGTATTGGACATTTTTAATTGTTTCCCTTGATAAAACACTCCCCAATGAACAACTGTGATTTTTCTTCTCAGATCAATCATTAAAATATTCATCGAAAGCTTCCGAAGCCATTACTAGCATATTGATTAGCATTCGACAATGGGTAGCTATCAACAGATTTTTTTCTGACACAAGTTGATCAAGGAACATATTATACTACATTTATTATCTTGGTCTATACCTTCGAAGAATCACAACCGATGCGCTTGGACGCCTTCAAAAACTCAAGTGTGGGAACAAATGGTAACCCAGTTAGACCGTCTAAACCTTTGATCATGTCCTGATGACCTGTTCTCATGGTAACAAGCCAGACAGACTTTTATTGCACTGGTGGGCCACTAGTATCCGGATAATCTGAGGTATATATGCATGTATATAATCACGAAGGAACAAAGTTGTGTGGTGAAAGTATTACTTCTTAGAAATCATACGGGGCTTTTCAACGCGGGATGTATCTTATATGGATCCACACTTACAGAATCTTTTGTTTGTTCATACAAGTCGATTTCCAGGAACCGAGAACCAAAATCGTCTGTCGCGGGCCATGTGGCATCAGAATCCGAACCTAAAACCGGAACACATGGTGGTGAAAAACAAAAACAACAAACAATTACCTGACATTTTTCTTCTTCACAGGGGGTACGAAAACGACAAGCGGCTAAAAAACGATAGAAGATAAATCAGCGAAAACGATGAGACAGACGGTCCACAATTGTGCTGATCTTTTTAATGGGTTAGATCAATTAGCTCGGCTAAATGTACTTGAATTGTTGTAAAGAGGCCGAAGCAACAACGAAATACGATATAAAAATAGTCTTACTATGGCATTCCCGAAACAAATCAAAGGCCAGAGGAGGGAGCCAGATACCACTCACTTGCGAGTAGTTCGCAAAAAGACGCGATCGGCGATGTCTTTCAACGGCCAAAAATGAACAAGACCTGTTGGAGCGAATGGCTGCTCTTTGTTATGGTGAATGGACGAATGCGCATATAACAGTGGACCGTTCCATCAACCATCTTGTGCTCGTGTGGTGATTCTGCAGACTCGTTCCAAATGAGACATTTTGTTGTATGAATGACAACTTACTGATGCCCTAGCAATTACTCGTAATAAACAACTTTCCTTGACCAGGCACCGCCTCGTGGAACTACAACAATGGTATCATTTGACGTGATATCACTATTTCCTGCAATGGGCTACCACTGAAGTGAGACACCCGAAAGCCAATAATCCGGGCTATAACCGGACCAGTGAACCACTGGTAGTTCACCTGGAGGAGTTAGTCAAAAAACATGATTCCAAACCAACCAAGAAGAGGTGTACAAACCA